CCCCAAAACCCCAAAACCCCAAAACCCCTTTTATAATATTTGTAATTGATAAATACAATTTTTCTAAGTATGTCCAGCCCAGTGGGCCCTTTTTCATCAAAATATAGCTATTCATAACTTGAAACTCCTCGAAAGGATGAATAAGAAGAGAACGATGCTTGCAGTGAGTCTACAGGTAATTTTGGTATCTGAGATATAGATAATAGGTAATATTTCAAAGTTATTAGAATATAGTGATTATCGATTTATTACTACTCACTGTTTTATTCATAAATAACGACCATTCCTTTGTCCCTGTGCTGGTGTACGCCACTGGGACAATCTTTCAAAGCATAACTTATTGATTCACTCAGAAATGGGTGATGAGTCATAAGAAAGTCAAGTATTACATAATTTCGAGAATTGCTCTTCTAGGGATACTATTTTGAATATAAATGCGATAGCAATCTGGGAGGCTGAAGATGAAGTATATTACCTGGCAAACTTCATTGCTGTGTTTATCATTTCAAGTATTTCGGAGTTAATACCTAAGACTCGCATGCCTATTCGTCCTTCTAAATAAGGATTCGATGACGAAGACCCTTCAAAAGGAGGAAGACGAACCTCCCACAAAGCTAGGTAGTAGTAAAGAAGCCTACCAATTGTTATCAAATCCTGAACACTGTGAAGAGTTCCAAGAAATTAGAACTCTATTTATAATCTCAAGACTTCCCAAGAGGCAGTCTAGTTATGAGACAGAGAATCAGGAGGATATGGGCTTGTCAATTCAGGAAATACTCAACCAAAAGAGTTTCGACAAATTTAACCAAAACAATGAATCCTTCAAGCATGAATCAAAAAGAACAAGTGAGTACTCCTCTATCAGCAAACTCAGGATGAAAAAGATAAGAGAAAGCATAGAAAGCCCTGATTTTGGCTCAAAAGGTAGTTCCTTCGTTACCCAAAAGAACCTCTCTAAAGCTTTATCTGTGAGTAGCAGAGATGAGCTGGAAAATGCTAATATTATGAAACAGCCAGTACACCTGTTCCAAAAATAAGATGACTAATTTCAGCTTCCAAGAAAGCGAAAACTCTTTCCCATCTAGCCATAATAACTCAGCACATCGTCGAGAAACTGAAAATAGCAAGAAAAGTAGCTTTGCTAAGAAAACCCCAGATTTTTCAATCTTACAGAGTAAAAAGGTGAAAAGAGAAGGGTCTGCAAGAGGGTCTAAGAAATATGCCAACCAGTCGAAGCACCTCAAAAATCATCTGAGATCGATCGCCAGACTTGTTGGGGCTGATCAAAATTTCATGCAAATGCAAATACCAACCAAAAACGACTCAATGGTACTTCCTTAAATGTTATAGTTAATTTCACCTGGTAATATTTCTGCCATCAGCTAAGAAAATCAATCAAAACTTTTACTTATAGCCAACAAGGAGTGATTTTAGACAATCAAAAGGAAAAATTAGAGGCTCCATTAGCTCCCAAGGAGCCAGATCTGCCATTGAAATCCAGTCCCTTCCCAGCATTGATGATGAATCAAGCAGCTCGAATTCTCAACTGAGTCAGCACGAGCCCCCTTCGATGAAGATGATAGGAGTGCAAGGAAGGGTCACAACTAAATCTTCTGGCTCAAAAGAAGAAACTAAATTTAACAGTAAATATTGGTTAATTCCTTGAAATCTTGACATTTTTATGATATAGTAAAGATTACTGCTGAAGAAAGGAAGGGTAGCTCTTCATTTATAGCCAAACAGCAAAGAGATACTTTGATGATACCCAAACCTCGTGAAAGGAGGAGGCTGTCTGAAAATCCAAGAAATATTAACCTCTTGCATGACATCCCTCGCCAGACCAAGCGACTGAGTAGGAAACGCAAGAGCACCAGGTCTGCAAGATCTGTTGGCAAACAAGTGCTTAGAAAACTTCTAAGCTTAAAATAGCTTTTTCAATTTAAATAAAATTTTAAGGGGTTTTGGGGTTTTGGGGTTTTGGGGTTTTGGGG